ACATGTCACATTGTAGAGGAGGACAGGCTAAATGTAGTCTGAACTGTTGACGAGTAATGAGAAGCAAAAATTACTGTGTAAACAGACTACAGTATGTCATGTGAAGTACAGGAACCTGTGTAAACAGTTTACACAAACACTTCCGGCATTCAGGAGAAGGCTTTCACAAACTGGCCCTCAACCCAAGTACTGTAACATACTGTACACTACAGTAGGAGTAAAAAACCAATTACGTACCTGTTCTTTCAGTTTGCCGTTCGCTATCATTCCATTCCGTTTCCGTTCAGTTGTGAATTCCGCGTGACACGCCCTCCTCAAGGGCGGTAGAGAATCGCTAGCGGGGGAGCGCAACTAGGTTTTTTCTTGGCCACTTGTGCAGTTCAGACTACATTTAGCCTGTCCTCCTCTACAATGTGACATGTATATACAGCAAGGAATTTTGTACCACAGAAGCCCTAGAAATCAAAGGCACCGCATGCAGTGTATGCGCACTAAGACAATTTATTAGTATGCATGCAATGGTGTATGGCGTGCTGACTCAGCCATACACCCCACATGTGAGTGTATGGCTGAGTCAGCACACCATACACCATGGCATGCATACGTTGTCTTAGTGCGCATACACTGCATGCGGTGCCTTTGATTTCTAGGGCTTCTGTGGTACAAGGTGTGACTAAGACTGTTCATGTAATTCTTATGCTGAGTCAGCACACCATACACTATGGATGAATTATTAATGAACTAAGACAATACTGTTGAGATAGGAGCACTAGTCTTACAGGAAATAAACTAAGTGGGTCCCTTTACACAACAGTGGTTTAAGGTCATACCGTCCACCTAGAATTGATATTCACCTAACTATCTGGCCACTAGGTTGTATATAGAACTGAGTACATATAGTACATACAGCAAAAAGACTGCAGATTTGCGAATATTGGTTGAAGTCATTTTCATAATCGCACATGTAGCAACAGTGTTTTCAAGCAATTGAAATTCAATGTGCGTGCGTTTAGATCACTTATTCTCCACCTAGGATCTAAACGATTTACACATTCTGAATGAAAACGCTGTTTTTATACCCCCTGAAATTGCTGGGACTGTTACGCCGATGACAGGTATGTATACTCACCTTGAATCCTCAATGTGACATTAGCACTCTCCATGAATGGACCACCACGTTGTTGTACAAAACACGAAACTCTAGTTCCATTGTACTCAGCTTTGGCTGGGATAGTCAGATTCTCCAGTCTAGTCCCTTCTGCAGTGTTAGCACCGAAGATTTCCAAATCCATTTCTACTGCAGGTAGAAGCTCATCCACAAAAGTTCCATTAACTCTCCAACCAGTGGAACCACCATCTGTCTCACACGTGAACACTGCTGACTGGTTTAGAAAGACAGTTTGGTTCCCAGGAGCATGGAGCACCTCTGGGAGTGGAAGGGTATGAGCAAGCGGTAAGAACACCAAAGCATACGATTACACTAATTAGATATAGAGCACTGGGAATTCTGAGAGACCCTGAGCTGTCTGCATCAATAGCATTGGTGTTACAGAAGGGAAAGCTCAACAGTTTCATGAATAATGCTGATATTATTATGATATGCAAGCTTTTTAGCTAGTGCTAGCCAATTGCAAACTCTTTCACTCTTGGCACCATGTGTAGCGAGGGTGGAAGTATACATTTACCTTGTGCACAACATAGTCCAAGAATAAAAACAAAGAACACAGCTGCACCACCACCTACACCAAAAGGGATAATGATTATGCACTATTAATAGCAGTTGCTTGTGTTAAACACACGTTACAACCCTCAGCATTCAGTATGTGTGTGTGTGTGTCTGTCTGTTACTACTTTTCTTGAACTAAAGGCCTAAAGAAGACAGGCAAAGCTGCAACATGGGGGACTCCAGAAACCAGTAGCACCTCCAACGTTGCAACAACTGTGTCATGGTCTTTGCAAGTGTTCTCACAGCACTTCAGTTGCATACAGTCGTCGCTGAGCAAACCAACGCATCCACCATCATAGATCATCCCAAAAGACCACCACGTATTGCTTACGTTGCCAAGTGATAGCATTCCAAGGCCAAAACAAATAGTGCAAATTTCGAAATTTCACTTGATTACCCATAAATAGAACAAAAACTTGCTGCACTATTCTAAACCCCTGTAGACTTGTAATCAGAATTGCAGTCGGATACATGCCATAGCCCTCTAGAGAACACAAATATTCTGTGTCAATCTATATTTGTATATAGCTGCATGCATCTAATCACATGACTTCCTGATTTGCAGTGACTCACGTGGCAACATGGTAGAGCTTGTGTCAGCAATTACTGTAAGAATGAATGATAATACAATTTTCAGCCAGTATCAATATCAAGGTTGCAGTACCCACGCTGTGGGTACGCAACATGTCATCATGCATCTGTGCGCAATTGAAATCACCTACTAGGCATTTGGTACAAATATTTGTTCAAAATAATTATTATATGCCTTAGGGTAGCACTTCATGGCTGTATCAAGTCATCAGCACTATTCAGTGTAGGGCAGGTCAAGCTCAAAAACGAGGAAGGATATTTTGAAAAACCCCACAAGACTCCTGCTGATTGATACACACGGTAATATCATCTAATCATACCTAATCCCTTTTACAATCTGGTTGTCTGGTCTACTGTTAGCCGTGGCCTCACTCACTTACGTATTCTCTCTCTCGCCTCACGAACTGGCTCGCGCATTCTTCACTTCCTAAATGGAAATCAATAACATTATTCATAGTCAAGGAATAGTGCGCATGCTTAGCTTCCCCCATCCGTGAGAGCTATGCATACCAGTTATACTAGAAGAATGTTGGCACGGGAGCGACCCAACTTGGGATTTGTCCGCGATGTTCGGGCTGCCTAACGTCGCGTCAGCTGCACAGCTTTCCTTTCGGTCGCGTTTAATACATGCGTACTGTATATTGCCAGGTGATCAGAACGGTCCATTACCTTACGCGTTCAGCTCGGCTGCCGTGGTCCGCCCGCAGCTGGATGCAGTACGCTAGGCACGATCGATCGGTCGGCCGACACAACGCGCGTGTGCATGCAGCACAGTATGTGCACGGCAACCCTAGCGTATTGCAAGTTGCAGCTTGGACCATGAAGATTGGAAAGCTCAGCAAGGTACAGCCTCGGTCAGTCACTGAAGGTGCAGCGCATGCCGTCGAATGAGGAGAGTTCTCTCAGCTGGCTAGATCGATCGCGCATATCTGCGAGGCTGAAAATGTGTAAAATGTTTGTAGACGAAGACGTGTACAAAGCGCGGCATGCGCACGTTACACGACGTACGATACAGTTTCGAACGACGACGACGAGTTGGCTCGCTCCCGCTCGCCAATTATACTAAAATGGAGCTTGTACTTGGTGCAGTCCTGCTTCTAAGTGGTTACTCTGCATGTTCTGTTGTTGCTCAAGGTAAGCCCACACTTTACATGTATGCTTACTGCTAGTTTACTTCCACTCCCAGAGGTGCTCCATGCTCCTGGGAACCAAACCGTCTTTCTAAACCAGTCAGCAGTGTTCACGTGTGAGACAGATGGTGGTATCAGTGGTTGGAGAGTTAATGGAACTTTTCTGGATGAGCTTCCACCTGCAATAGAAATGGATTTGGAAATCATCGGTGCTAACACTGCAGAAGGGACTAGACTGGACGAGTCTGACCATCCCAGCCAGAGCTGAGTACAATGGAACTAGAGTTTCGTGTTTCGTACACAAAGACTTGGTGGTTCATTCATGGAGAGTGCTAATGTCACATTGAGGATTCAAGGTAGCTACAATTACTAGTGTAAGTTATTAAAGATATGAATGTGCACCAGGTACCCTGTCAGCAGTAGCTGGTCTGAGAGCCATTAGCAGTACCAGTTCAGTGACCATCTCGTGGAGTGCTCCATTCTCTCTGGATGTGACTGGTGTTGATCCTGATATCTGGTACTCTGTCCTCATCTACAATGTGACAGATGAGAACAACCCAACAGCCATCCTCTGTACTGACTGTATCAATATCACTGAGACACACTACACCTTCACTCCTGACTACCTCAGTCCTTGTCATGTGTACAACTTCTCTGTCATCCCTCTGAATGGAGCTGGCCAGGGAGAGAGGAGTCCCAACATTACTATTACCATGGTATGTCAATTTTAATCTGCAACCAGACCAGCCTGATCCCTTGAGCATGTAGACATATAATTATATTTCTCTGTTAGGAAAGCCTACTTTCATCAGAAGTCATATCAAAGCTGTTTGTGATGATGTTGCAGTTACTTATGTAAGTGTAACTTTAAGATGGTCTTATACAGTAGTATAGCCACTGTCTACAGGAACACAACGAGATGGTAGATGAGTACATTCTTCATGGAGTGTCTGATATGGACCTAAAAAATATTCTTTGTCCTCCAACCATCGAGTTTCAACATACACACTCTCTGCAAACAAAAACTTTAGCATATTCTTTGAAGTATTTACAGCTGCTGGACCTGTGAATGTATCTCATGATACCTTCAGTAAGACAACCAATGGGTGTGTCTATACTAGTTCTCATGAATATTGTATACAGCAACCTATGATGTCCAGAGTCTGTCAGTGGAAGAGGAAGAGGAGGGAGTGTTAGTGAGAGGGGAGTTCACGAGTGGGTCACGAGCTGCAGGATGTCTGGTGGTCCTCCAGGGACCTCCCTCCTCTCCTGACATATTCAGAGCTCTCCTGAGGACCCAGTCTCAGGACACTGTCTCCACCACTGTACCTGTCCCTCCCTCCACTTACACTGTGTATGGATATGACCTTGAGGAGAATGGACTACCCAACACCATGCCTGCTATCCTTCTAGAGAACCAGATATTGCTAAACTCAGGTCAGCTATTCAAAACTTCTTAGCAATGTTAAAAGCTCTTGTTTACAGATGCTGACAAAGTTAAACCTTCCCTCTATTTGAAGAGTGCCAGCATATCCCAAAGAGGATCAACTGTAGTGATAGACTGTGAATTCTCAGAGGTCTATCCCGAGGCCTCATGTGTCCTGGTCTACAGAGAGTATGGCAGTCCTCTCCTGACAGTGGTGGACATTCCCCAACTCTTTGATTTCCCTGTCTCTATCACTGTGGACAACCCTGAGAACTATACCTTTGCACTGTTTGGGAAGAATGGTGCAACTGAGTTTGGATGAAGAGCCACTGGTGTATACTAAATTCAGTGACTCTGGTAAGAATCACTACAACCTCTTTAGGTATTTGGGAAACTTTCACACCAATGCAAACTGTTTACATACTCAAAGACCAATTGTGAAAACTAAATATAGTGTCACATTTCCTTGAGCTACAGATGAAACAGACAGAGGGAAAGAAGAAGGAAAGGGCAATTCCCAAGGACCAGTTGTTGCCATATCCATTGGTGGGTGTTTACAGTATCAAAGCTAAACCCACAATGTATATCTTCCTCCAGGCACAGTAGTGGTGTGTGTTCTAGTATGTGGCTCAGCAGTGTTGGTCCTGGTGATGGTCAGACGGTATTATAACCGCAGCAAGTCCACACATGCATCTGATGCAGGTAAATGATGTGATCATCAAGCAAGAATCTGCTTCCAAACCTGCTGCAGTAAGGTTCTAGTTCACAGTTGTGTGTGTATTTCTCTTGCAGCAGGTCTCCAGACCAGAAATGTGTGGTCTATGATGAGGTGGTTCTTCCCCCAACCACCACCCCATCCTCTGTCATTCCAACTGAACCCAACACAGCCTATGTCACCACCACAATACCCACTGACCAGAATGTGGCCTATGCTGTGCGTTCGTCCAATACATAATTACGTCACGACATGTGACTTATTCATCAAATACAATGTCATTGCAATTATTAGATGCTGCTGAATTTTATTGGCCGTAACACATGACAGGGCAAAAAACAATGTATCCACTGAACAATGCAGCTCTGTACTGAACTAAGTACTCCAGACAGTATGGGCCTAGTGCTACTTAGTGATAACAGGTATTCACAGTGCTGAGTAAGCAGTGTCACATGACAGCTCACTAATGAAGCGCAATAACATGTTTGCATTGGGAGCATGTGTTTCGGCAAGCGCACGCACAATGCACAACATGTGGGAAAATGTGCAGTCAAGTTTTTCCAGTAACTCTTGTTGTCTGGGAGGAGTGCGACACACACACAAACAGAACAACAGTATAAGAGCATGCCACAGCTGTAGACCAATGTTGTCATGGGAAAGCCACTGTCTACTGTACACATATTCTACACCACAGCTACTACACTCCTATCTCCACTCTCACCCTCAAAAAACGCTTCACGACCTATAAAGATACCAACCACCCTTCGTAGTCTTACACCATAATGGTTTAAACTGTAGCCCTGGTTCTTAATAATTTTTAGGTCACGTCTAATTACTGCAATGGGAAACAGTATACCCTAATGTGAGGAGACCGGCTACCCACAGTGGTGGGGGCCGGTCCCCCCACCACTGTGGTTTTTTTATATCACACACACACACACACTACTATTTTTACACTTGTGAGTATACTAGAATAAAATACATCACCCAGGACCCTAGAGTAACAAGTCCACTTCCCCCTTAGGAGATTCCATACCTATGACATCACAACTCCCTATAAATACCCCACTGTGCATTAGTAGAACCATAGGATTGCAAGTCCCCCAGAGAGCCTATGTGATTGTAAATACAGTACTGTAAGCTGTAGATTTTGCATAAGAGTCTGTGTGACATTGGATGTGTCGAGTTGGCTAGCCATAAGATCTTTAACCCACCGTCCCCAGTTCTCAAGGCTGGGCATCCATGTCCTGCTCTTGTGTTTGTATGAGTGAGACTGTGTAATTACAATGTGATAGGCTAGGGCTGCACAAGCGCAAAACACTGAAGCAGAAGTGGGTACCCTGGTAAATCAAAAAAATACATGTAATTTTGACCACTGAGCTGCCGCGTGTAGTGAAGTTGACAAAAGTCTCCCAGCCTCTGGTCTTATTGTGTTTGTGTTTGGTCACTTTCCTTTCTCCCCCTTTCTCCTCGATCACCCCCACCAATCACACACACAAACCAAGTACTGTAAATCTCGCTGCGCATGCGTGCCGAGGGTTTAATAATAATAATTATACTGATTTGGGGGGATTACATAAGCACAGTATTTATGAACAAAATGTGAGTACATTATACAGCTACATTTGAAAGGACTTTACAATCCTTAGTGATAGGTTTTCAAGCGGCGGATAAAAAGCAGTTCAAATACAAAATTCACTTGGGCCAGAGTTTAGATATTTTTGAAACTGACATCAGGGGAAATTCCTTCATCACAGTTTTGAGTCAGCAACCCTGGCCTTGCATCCAGTAGAGCGAGAGCCAGGGCTGCTGACGGCGGGAGCTACCCTTTGGCAGGGTAGCTCCCGGAGTGGATCTTGTTTCCAAGTCCATTAAACCCGAGTGCCACTCCGCAGTGCATCCACTTGATGATCTTCTCGTGAAAGTTCTCTGGAAAAATAACAAAGAACTAAAAACATGGGTACAGTATTGTGGCATTACACACCTGGGGGCGTTAACCCCTGGTACTTTTTGAAAGGAGTAGCCACTTTCATCTTCTTCTTGTTGGACTTGGGCCGTGGTGGAGGTTGTGGGGAGCGGCTCATTGCCGGCACCAGAAGCATGACCTCTCGTAGAAAATTGATTCTTTCATCAAGGGCATCCAAGGTTGGGGACCACATGGGATTGTTCTCTTGTGGTTCTGGAGGCACTGGAGACCTTTTGTGGGGTACTTGGAGTACACTAGCACACCTCAGTTCTGCAGAAATTAAATTTCCAATGCAAAGGGCAAACGATAGACGTGAGAGTGGGGTTTTCCCTGCCACTGATTTGGGCATTCTCTGAGCCACCTCATCATTGACAACTCTGGGGAACAGATCTCCGGTCACCATACATCCTACGTCAAACAAACAAATACACACCATACATGTCAAATTCAAAATCTACCTTTGACTTCATTGAGGACTGAGAAAGCAATGTGATTCGTAGAGCTGTTTACACATTTTGTGCTGACACGTTCACAGGCATCGAATCCCTCCACATACTCGCTGGGACTGGACAGGATCTCAGCTTCATTGAAGTGACCGTGATCAGGGAGCTGGTGTGTGGTCACTTCAACAGTTCCTATATCACAACAATAATTATCAGTGGGTATAGTTTTTATTTTATTTTATAGACTTTATATCATACCAGTCTGAACCTTTCTCCCTCCAGCCTAGAGAGGAATAGACTGTGTGCATAACATATAAATCACAATATTGCTACATACCCCTGGATAATCAGATTTGGGAATAGCAGATGGTTTTGTGGCACATACAAAATCTCTGTGGAGGTCCTCATTTCCTTGTTCCCTTTCTGTTGGCTTGAAGTGATTGTCTATCAACATTCAAATTGCATGAGTCATGGTTTTGGCATTATTCAAATGAACCAACCATTGGTATCGTGCTCACATCCAGGAATGAGAATGTTTTCACCAACCAGACACACATCACCTGTTGGTAATCAATCATGACGATCCACATTATGAATACACTTGTACCCATGAATGAAAGGGGAGAGCTGTAGCAGCATGTTTCCGGGAATAACCGGATAGAAGGGGTAGTTCCAGGTATCACTGTCGACAAATACAGTGTAAGGGACACGATAATAGTTGGAGGAGTTTCTTACCAACTGTATTGCTGCCGTCATCAGTGCAGCATTGCAGAGGATAGTCACATTCACTCTCTCCACTCTCACCGTTCCTCTCACTCTCGCTGCTCGGATCTCCTTCTTTAAGAGTAGGGTAGCCCATCAGAGCAGCTTTGACTCCTTGTTTCTGCTCTGACCATTCACTTGACATTGTTTTCTGGGATATTTATAATACAAAACCACTCTGCATACAGTAAGCTGAAAACATTACCTTGCCACCTCTGATATCACCACTGTTGCAGTCAATGGGGGGCATCTGCTGGGAGACTCCAGGCACCACCTCACTGCAATCAGTGCCCTCATGTTTGAATCGAGGTGTCACTGGTGCGGAGCCTGAATGTAAGAAAAATCGTCGTTGCAAGGGGAAATACGGCATATATGATGACCTAAAGCTCTGTACTAATGCCTAACCTGTGAGTGTGAGTCAAGCGTTATTAAGCCTTGACAGTGTTCTCACAACTAGGAATGCTACAGTGCAAAGGCTCCTAGCCTAGTATTTGAAGGAGTCCCTGCCTTAACAATGAAAAGCACTGAAGTGCAAACCCTCGGCGAACTGCGCATGCGTGGTACTACTAATTGATGGGCTGGGCCGTAGTATGCGTTTACTCGTGGTCTCCCGCTAGTAGCTCGCGGAGAATCTGACACGGGCTAGCTACAGCAGTAGAAAGCATGCGTAGTCGATAAGTCCCCCCCGTTTAGACTTCTTGAGCCTCCAAGGGTTAATTATGAAAAAATAGCCTATTTTTTCAGGGTGAGTGATGTGATAGGACTCCCTATAGGCATTGTTCACTTAAACTAAGCACTCCTAAGTCACCATTCAGCTTTGCTTTTATATGGTTCTAGGCCATTTTGTATATAGATTGTTACCTATTCCACTTGAAGAAGAACTGATCTGCCTGTTCATTGTCTGTAACTGACAGTCTGGAGGAAAAAAATGAAACGCAACAAGTCCAAGTCCACAGTGAGACACACACAGACACATCATCACACCAAACACTGTCACACTCGCTGCACAGTATTAACAACTCATATTATGTAATGTTATATATACCTCATGGTAAGCGCATGTAAATGAGCTCTTCTGTCACCAAAACTGACACCTATGTACTATGGTATGTAGAGACCAACAAACGTACTGTCTGGTCCACTCAAGGCCTGCCGGGCCAGTTCCACTTCCCCCAGATCTCTCAGTACATGAGAAAGTTTCTCCCAGGATGGCTCTAGTTTGGTGACCCACATCTCCACACACACCTGCAGACAGCCCTCATTCATGTCGTTGTTGGTGTCTATCTCATCAATCAGATCCTCATCAAACTCCAGACCCTCTGCTATCTCCTTCCAACGACCAGCCACACCCCACAACAGTGACATCACTGAGTCCACTGTGGGGGGTCCTAGGGGGTGGGGAGACATGTAATAATGTAGGACAAGTAAAGGGGCATTGCAGCCTTTCAACCTTTGGGTGTTGCCTTGACTACATTCTTCTTGTCTGCATTAGGTAGTAGAACACAGGATTACAATTACCTACATGGTGCTATCACTACTAACCTCTGTTGCCACTGTCATTAACAGGAGTAGTGGCATGAGGTAGGATTGTGACGTAAGGACACTGCGTCCTTGTGTCCATCTCCAAGGGTTTGGTTTGGTTGGCAGGAATAGGTCCCAGGTCAGCATATTGAGAACGGGCCATTTTCTGAGGAAAGAGAGGATCATAACATGAGTCATGTGACTATGTGTGATCATCAGCTGACATGAGTAGTTCTGATGTCAATCTCCTGGTACTGGACTCTGGAGTCCTCCGGGATAGGGGGTTGCACTCCTGATGTTGAGGGTTCCACATCGGTGTATATCCCCTTTTGTTTAGACATCACTGGAGGAGTACTCACACTAATGCCACCGTCCTGTCTTAGGTGCGAGGTCGTCGTACTGCGAGGGGGTCCTTCAGCATATCCATCGATTTGTTGTTGGGTGCCACCATCATTTGATATCAGTTGAGAACTGCTCTCTCCACTAGCAAAGTAGTTAGTTTCACTCAGGGAAGGACAACAAAAGCAACTGTGAACTACACGAGAGAAGGAGCTGTAACCAACTTTGTGTGACTGCAATAAGAGATATGAACATTTCTGATGTAAAATTAGTGACACAAATTACCTTCTTCCACCAAATCAGCATAACTACAGCCAAGATGACAAGAGTAATGATGACAAAAGATACAGTAACTGACACTCCAATAGCAATTGATGATCTTCTTCCATCTAGAAAACAGGAAAACATTATCTCTGTAGGTACATACACATCTATATATCCTATACAAGAACTGACAGAATGAAAAAGCAATAAAGTGCAGACCCTTGGCGCAAGGAATGTGGGCACATAGCGTTGATGTGTACAATATGCGTAGCAGTTAAGGTTTAACTGGTAGCCAGGCAGGCAATCCAAGGACTGTAACCCCACTGTACATGCACGCCGGAGGGTTAAAAATAAATTACCATACTCCACATGCAAGCCAAGGGCTAATTAGACATACCAGAGGATGTTGATACAGTAATAGCTGGTGTAGTTGGTGTAGTTGGTGTGGTTGTCTCAGTAACATTCATTCTTCCTGCAATAATTGGTCTTTGATCGACCATGGAACCATCCTTTCCAAATATAGCAAATGTGTAGTTCTCCAAATCATCATCAACAGTCAGAGTCACAGGGAAGACAGTGTTCTGAGGATATTCCTCCACCACTAGTGTCTTGTTACCATACTCTCGATAGACCAGGACACAAGAGGCTCCCTCTATACCTTCTTTGAACTCACACGTGACATTCACTGATGTCTCATTCACGTAAACACTGCCATTGTTTAGAAATTGAGATTCTGCATCAGCAATGGGACCTGCAATAGAAAATGGAATAAGAGCCAAATGTAAACTAATCAGCACACACTCACCATTCCCCAGAACAGTGACATTAGTGGTCTGTTCAACAGCAGGATGGCTGTTAGGCAGTCCATCTTCCTCAAGGTCATACACTAACACATGATATGTTGAAGATAAAATGTCATGAATAGTACTCTGTATATAAGTGCTGGAGTCATCAGGCAGTAGTAGGGCTCTGAACACATCAGGATTTCTGTATTCAGATTTTAAAACTATGAAACATCCTTGAGCCGTTGTGCTCTCAATGAACTCTCCAGTCAAATTTATCTTATTATTGGTACCATTGGAAGCGGCAGCACTCTGGACATCATATGTAGCTGTAGACACATAATTATATCCAATCATTGCCCTTGGCAGAATATATAAAAGCATATTATCCAGCATGATTGAAATTATTTCTAATTTTTATTCGGTATGCATACAGCCTTTTCATGCATAACAAGGACTGTTCAATGACCATACAAACGTAAGCAGCATACGAGTGTTCATGTGAATACAGAAAACTGTGGACCTCCTATGTACATGTAGTATTGGACACAAAAGACACACACATTCTCCACATAAGGGTTAGTAAGGCATTAATATCTACAGTACTGCTGTTTGTCACAACACAAAAAATTACTGAAATTGATCCGTGGGGGGGCTGCTCTACTAATGAAAAGAGGAAGGGACACCAGGAATGAATATCTATTGTCAGCACGGAGTTGGTAGGTGACATCTGGTCCTTCTGGTGATGGTGGCTCTTCAATGACAAGATCATCATCAGCTACATCAGGAGTGACTCTCCAGCTACTACAAATTTCACTGGTGTGATTACTCTATCACAAAACAACAGACATTGAAACATTAGTATTGTGTATGATACTTACTACTAACCTTAAACGTAACTTTGCTCTCGTCCCTAGAGATAGCTCGGATGTGAGTCTTTATAAGTGCTAACACTAGAAAGAGAACAGAATTGTTACAGAGTTAGTTGTCTATTCATGCGGGAATGGCAGCAGATATGCAATATATGCCACAAGTCACATCAGCACTTGGTCTGCACAAGTACTGGTGAAATTCTGGTGCCATTTTTGCAAACATGGCATATCAAACTATCCAGCCAAGCATGGAAAATGATGAAACAGGTGAAGTACTGGTATGGGCATTTGCACAGACCCATATGTGATGTTGCTATATACCAGCTATCAATACTGATGGACATTCTGTTGTGTGCTATTTAATTGAGAGAACTCAGAATAGGATGTGCAAAAGTGGGTATACAGAAATATAAGTTCCCTCAAAAACGCAGGCACAATACTGAAAACATATGAGAATTTGCTAGATCTATTTTTTGCACCATCACTTAGAAACAAAAGATTATGTTTGTCATTATGTACATTTTATTGCATTGTAAATGGACTAGTGCATTTCCCACAACAGAACATTGTACACCCCATCATGTCATCAACTCGGAATTTCAACCCTCATGCTTTCATAGTTCCTTACTCTCGTTGTAATGCTTTAAAATTGTCTTTCTTCTGTACAGTCATCCGACTATGGAATTGTTTGCCTCTAGAAGCTCATACTTCTGAGCATTTACTACAGTTTAAACATCACATTTCTCCATTTTTTCTATCCCCTTAAGTACTTATTTATGTTTTATGGTGCACTTTATATTAGCATCTGCTATATTGTGTACTGTGCATTATTATGCAGAATTTCTATAAAAAAAAACAATGCTACCTGCATGCAGCATTAGGAAATAACAAGTCGGTACGAAAAATGAATTTACAGAAGCAAAAATAATTTCCACTATAACATGTACTCACAGTTTAAAACATATCCAGTGATATTGGGACTGCTCTCTCCCTGGCCAGCTCCATTGAGGGGAATGACAGAGAAGTTGTACACATGACAAGGACTGAGGTAGTCAGGAGTGAAGGTGTAGTGTGTCTCAGTGATATTGATACAGTCAGTACAGAGGATGGCTGTTGGGTTGTTCTCATCTGTCACATTGTAGATGAGGACAGAGTACCAGATATCAGGATCAACACCAGTCACATCCAGAGAGAATGGAGCACTCCACAAGATGGTCACTGGCCTGGCATTTTTAACATCAACTTTCAAATCACCTACTGCTGACAGTGGACCTGGATGCAATTAATATGCATTTTCAATTGAGACAGTAGATTACAATCATATGTGTGCACAACCGATAAGGTGCCCCCCCCTGAGCATACAATTCCTTGTTGTATCTTGCACATGTCACATTGCAGAGGACAGGCTCATGTAGTAGTCTGAACGGCACAAAATGGTATAGTGTGAACATGTATATACAGTAGAAAGTATGTCATAAGTTATACCTGTTTATACCACGGTTGGGCATATTTTCAAAGGTGCCGCCCACAGTTTATTCAGTTTATTCAGTTTAACCACAAACTGACAATCTGCTCCAGAGTTTGATGTAAATGCTCTTTTACAGGGTGTAGACCTTGCAACTTTTCTTTCTTGATTTTTGTAATGCTGTTGTCAGTTGCGTTAAATTTTTGTGGCTTAATACACTTATTGACTTACTTAACTTAACCACAGTTCCGCCCGAATATGAATAATGCCTAAGGTTTTGGCTGTGGTACTGGGAATACTACTAGCGTGGTGCCTCTGAAAATCAGCAAAACTAGGCTACAAAGGGATGTATGCCTCTTTTAAATTTGCAGGATTTTTTAATATACTTTATATACACAAGCTGAGTGAGGGCTACCACAAGATTTCTGACTGTGCCAGACAGCTTGAGTTAAAATGCAAACACGTACATAGTAATGCATATTATAATATATCCTCCGTCTCTGCATGAACATAGCTGATTTAAATCGAGCAATCTGATTGTCCACACGAGGTACTTGATTTCCCGTAGTATACCCGGGACGCTCCGTAGTAAACCTTGTTTTTCATGTAAAATTTTCACAGAGTAACTAAATTATATTAGTTACTCCGTATAGTCGGGAACTACGGGATTTCAATGAACACTCGGGCCATCCACGTAGTTGCTCTCACTGCACTCGGGACACTACAACGCGGAGGCCCTCGGGTTCATTGAAATCCCGTAGTTCCCTCGAACGGAGTAACTAACTTATATAGCTATAAAAACAAATGGACTAGGGTGATTATGAATGTGCTTGAGTGCTTGTACATTTCCTATGAAAAACATGCAAACACTCACCCAGCCTGAACTACACGCTATGCATGCACAAAAAGCTGCTTTAAATTGATGGGCTGGTCCACACAACGTGGTCAGTGGAAGTTACACTATACCTTTCACGTGCAGTGGTTTCAGGAAAAATACTTAAACAAGTAAATTAAAAATCCTGTGAATTTAAAAAAAGAGGCATAAAGGGATGTGGCACATTATATAAGGGCTAGAGGTTACTAAAAGCAAGCATTCTTTCACCGTCCCCCCATTCTTTTTAGTAACATTTCTACTTTTATACTACCACAGTCCCTTTAATTAAACTCAACTTTGACTCTATAACGGTGTTGGTTACTCAGTAGGATGACTTTTATAGGCTACAAATGGATGTATGCCTAGAACGTCTAACCGGCTTAGACTACAGCGCAAGTCCGTCCCGCTGCAGTGTCCGTTGTAGGCGTTGCTGCCCTTCGGGATCACGCCGCTGCCGTTTGCACGCGTTTTTCCCTGCACGCTTTCTCTAGCGTCTTTTTCGCTCTCTAGTAGTCATGCGCTGCTGCTAGAAGAGCCTGTTCCTGGTTTCTTCGTGGGAAGAACAGCTCCAGAAGCTCGGTTCGCCGTCCGCACGCGTGGCGTATTTTCGAATTGAAGGCGTGGTTGCCGGGGCTACGAATAGATATAATTATATATACCGCGGAAGAGGTAACTAACAAAATTAGTTACCGCTAAACTCGCAATCTGATTGGTCAATTGCGAGTTCAGTGGTAACTAATTTTGTTAGTTACCTCTTCTGCGGTAACTATTCGTAGCCCCGGCAACCACGCCTTCAATTCGAAAAGACGCCACGCGTGCGGACGGCGAACCGAGCTCTACGTGATTTAGTGATCCTCGGAGCCCTTAGTAGCGCCCTCGCTGCGCTCGGGACGCCGACAGCTCAGGGCTCCTCGGCTCACTAAATCGCGTAGTTCCCGCGGCTCCGCGTCTAACATAGCTTATACGTATTATCTCTGTGAAAGGGGGCAAGTCCCTTATAAAAATTTATAATAGAGAAAAATGCCTGTTGTCGTCATGGAAATGATGTAATACGCATGCGTACAAAGTTTCATCTCCATGTACGTGTGCTGCCGTTAGCAAGTTTGAGGAGTGAAGAAGTAAATGCCTGAGGCTATTTGTATAGTTGTTCAAATAATATGTGGTTGTTATGGTTGTCGCATTCGTACCAAGTTTCATCTCCATGATTAGCAAGTTTGAGGAGTGAAGAGTGCCTAAAGCTATTTGATGTTGTTCAAACAATATGTGGTCATCATGGAAACATGAAGTTGTCATGGAAATGATATAACATGCATGCATGCCAAGTTTCATCTCCATGCAAACTACCGTTACCAAGTTTGAGGAGAAGTGCCCGAAGCTATTTCAACAATATGTACTGTCATGGAAATTATATAATAGGCATACATACCAAGTTTCACCTCCATACGTGCTATAGTTAGCAAGTTTGAGGAGTAAAGAAGTAGGTTTAAAGAAAATTGCCTGAGGCTTTTTCAAACAATATGTGGTCATCATGGAAACATGTAATCGTCATGGAAATGATATAATAGGCATACATACCAAGTTTCATCTCTATGCGTGTTACCATTGGAAAGTTTGAAAAGTGAAGAGGTAAATTTAAAGAAAAGTGCCTGGGCTATTTGTTGTTGTTTACAAACATGTGTTGTTGTGATTTTGATGTTGGCTATTGAATACATTAAGTATACAAACTTTCGTTCACATAGCTCTTACCAATTGTGAGTTACACTGACACATGTAGTATGCCCATTATAATGTTTTGCCTGGGGCAATTTTGTTGTTGTTTACAGTAAACAACATTGTTTACAAACCAAAAAAAGTATGATGTTGCACATGTGGTTATCGATATGTACATTCCTACAAAATTTCATGGCTTTATCTCTTTCGGGTTTTGAGTTATGCTGGTCGAAGAAGAAGAAGAAGATGATGAACAAAACTACAGATTCTTGAGAGAACTGGCATTTCTCTGCCTTGAGCCATACTCCATGCTCCTTGAGACGTTGAAGAGTCGCCCCTATCATAGCCCCCATACATCTACACAAGTGGAAAAATCATTTCTTCAAAATGAATGGGGGATATAGGGATGGCTTGAAGCACCAAAAAGGAAGAAACAAGGGGTCATTACACAGCAAAGTTGCACAAAGCTACATGACACCGTCCCTATATCTTTGTTCGATATTAAACTTTGCTTATAAACAATAAAACAAGGATATAAGGATGGTGTCATGTAGCTTTGTGCAACTTTGCTGTGTAATGACCCATTGTTTCTTCCTTTTTGGTGCTTCAAGCCATCCCTATATCCCCCTTTCATTTTATTTTTGTAGTTTTGTTCATCATCTTCTTCTTCTTCTTCAACCAGCATAACTCAAAACCCGAAAGAGATAAAGCCATGAAATTTTGTAGGAATGTACATATCGATAACCACATGTGCAACACCATACTTTTTTTGGTTTGTAAACAATGTTGTTTACTGTAAACAACAACAAAATTGCCCCAGGCAAAACATTATAATGGGCATACTACATGTGTCAGTGTAACTCACACTTGTTTCCACTATTTTTAATAGCTTATGACAACACTGCATTTATTGTTACAGTCACTCTGATGTTCATGGGTATGTTGTAGATAGGCTACCATAGACAAATGGTAACTGTTGAAAGTAGTAGCTAATGGGGCTGCCAGTGCCTGAAGCAGGGGCTAGTATTGTCTTCAACAAGGATGTAATTAGAGTATTGCACATGGTTGTGGTTTCATGGGCAGGCTTTGGTAATCAGGCTACAACCAAGGGGGGGACGAACAATGAAGGCAGAACGCCCCGCAAGGCTCGCGTAATACCGTGCAGACTCTGGCAAGTTGCTCTTCGTGCAAATCAACAGCAAGCTAGCACACAGCACACTCACTTACAGAAGGCACTGGAGGCTGAGAGTTCCTCTGCAGGTCTGCCAACTCGCCTGGTAATACGCTCGAGCTCGCAAGCAACGCACCTGCCTGGCGCATGCGCGCGGCTCACTGATGCTGAGTTAGTTGTTCAGTGTCGACCATGGATGTCCGCGCGCACCTCCGGCGAAATTGGAGACCTTCAGTGAAAAAATCAGTGCTTGGCTTGAACTGGTACTGGTATGGAGATAGCGGGTTTAAAGAAGAAGAAGAAGATGACGACACGAAAATCGTGAAATCGCGTATGAGCGAATTCTCGCGTGGACGACTGAAGGTGCGTATGAGGTCTTGGGGGGCATGTATAGGTAGATATGGGCCCGTAGACTATTGCTAGTATGTTTTGAAGGCCTAGGGAGTGATTCTCACCGAGTTTTTAGTCGTTTCGTACGCGGATCACGTGAGATTTCACCCGCGTCATTCCGAGTCTACCGACTCTAATGATGCCAGGTACCATGCCCATCCCTATAATATACTAAGTACAGTACTACCGTACTTAGTGATAACCGTAGTTAGTGATAAGTATTATACGGTGGCCGACAAGTGCCATCCTTCCAATTTCCATTTCGTGTTTCCATTTTCAAAATTCACCTCCCATTTTCCATTTGGTATATACTTCCAATTTCCAAATTCTATTTCTTTTTTCCATTTTGCGCTTCCATTTCGCGCTTCCGTTGTCCGTTATCCCAGCCTTCTAGATAGACCAGCGCGGCGCTGACAGCCGTCCTTTCTCG